AGAAGTTGCCTGTTCTCTCTTTAGTAGGGTGGGGAAGGGTCTTTTGGTGATGGTACCTTGTGTCCTGCCCGGCCCCTGCAGGTATGAGAGACTGGTGAGAAGGAGGAGGTGGCAGTGGGCTCCAGGTGCTGTGGGACTGTGTCCTGTCCTGGGGCTCTGCCTTTGGAAGCTGGAGAGGCCCTGTGTGCCCTTTCACATCTCATCCCTCCTCTGGCTGCTGCTCCTGTTTTCAAGGTATTGTTGTCTTGATATTTGGGTCCTCAAAGGGGAGAGAGAAGCAACAAATTTACTGAAATTATCTTGATATTATTTTGTTCTCTTATGGGGTTTCTTGTGTGAAGGGGGTATCTCCTCTATTAACTCCCATTAATATCAAACGTCTACTATCCTATTAATAGGATTTGCATATGGAAAGGAAGAGGATTGACCTTTAAATTCATTAAATAAAGCAAATTTAAAAAAAATAATTTTAGTTAAAAGCATTAGTGTGATGAAAAATAGAAGAACAAATACATAGACATCAGTATCTGGGCTTTCATTAACACTAACGAGCAAATTATTGCAAGGGAAGATTTGCATCATTGGAATATGTATTCCAGCCTCCATACTGATATATGTGATGCAGGGTTATCTTTGTATGGCTCCTCTTTCAGAATATATTTTCTTTTTATAAAATAGCCTCCTTTTAACTCCCATTGGGGATCTCCTTATAAATGAGGAACTGGTCCTCAAGGGACTGGCCTGGCTAGAAAAGTGTGTTATTAGAAAAAAAAGTGCATATTAGAATACTAAGCAATATAATTAGCTCATTTTTTTGGTTTTTTAGAAAATCTTAAAAAAAAGTATAGCCAAGTTTAATTAAACATATTCTCTGGATGTTTGAATTGTGTAAGAATTAGAAAATCCTGTTGTATTTTAGAGGGATTAATTGCATCAATTTAAGGTTCTTGCTCTAATCTCCAATATGCAGTCAGGTATCATTGCTGCTCTTGCAAAGCAGGTACAGTGCTGTGAATAAGTGATGTTTGCCCACAAATCTGGGACCACAAGCTGCCCCTTGTGTGGACATTCTCAGCCCATGAGTGGCAATGTATTCATCTTCTAATCTTTTATACAGGAAAAAACATAGGTTCTCTGTAGCGAAACTGGCTAAATCTGCAGATTCAAAATATTATCATTCCTAATGATAAATATTGATTTACACGTGTTGAAAAGCTTCTGTTGCCTTCACAGCAAGGAGTCTAAAATATAATTAGATTAGTAATGTTTCTGCCACCAAATCACTTTTTGAGGCTGATTCTTGAGACGCTGATGTTCAGAGGTCTCAGGATCTCCAGCATTGCTTTGCTCCTAGGTCTTAACCCATCTATGTCTCAGCTTTCCAACACACAGCCCTTTGTAAAGTACTTTGAGATACTTGGATCAAACTTGCTGCCTGTCCAAAGTATTAATCAGTATTTTGTGCTATTTTGTTATGCAGCCCAGTCTATAAAACCAGCTATTTATTCTGATCGTGTTCTATCTCAGGCCCCCACAAGTGGGAAGAGGTGAAATGTTTCAGGTTATTCTGCTCAGAGCTCAGCTAATGTCATCTGCTGAATACAGCTCTAAACATCTGAAGCTGGTGAAATTAAATAAAGTGTGAGCATCCTTTAGTCTGGAGCTCTTTGCCTTTAAAACAATTACTCATGGTAACCTTAACAATGGTATATTAAGAAAAAAAAATCCTCATAAAAGAATGTGGTGTTAGGATGGAGCTCTGCCTGATATTAGAACAATTATGGAGCAGATGCATCCACTCCGAACAAAGTGACCTTTTCATCAAGTTACAAAACATTAAAGGTTAAAGAATGTTTGAAAGGAAGTTAATACTTTTAAAACATTAGAAAAAAATTGCCATTCTTTCAGGACCTGACCAAAATCAGCGGGAAACTATGAGATGACTGTTTAGGCACATCCAGTCATAATTTAAGCAACTCTTATTACAGAAGGATATTAGCTATTTTACATCGTCTGTTTTATTTTACAATTAGAGGTGCTTTTTCAGAGAAGAAATGAGATTTGATAGGAATAAATACCCAATGACAGAAACCTGCTCTAAAGCTTGGCTAATTGCAATTTTGAAGTCGCATTTCTTCCTCTCCATTGTGTACAGAGGAGAACAAAGAGAGGGAATCAATGGTGGTGTCAGATTTTCTTAGTTTCCACGTTTCACCTGACCCGGGCGGTGCAAACCCCAGTGACCAGCTGGGGAGCAAAGCGCTGCGGCTCCTGCCCCGCGCTGCCCCCGCACACGGCGGGGACGCGGCTCCTGCTCGCCCAGGGCCGCCCGGGAGGGGACAAGTGCCCGGGACCACCTCCGGGGTGCGGGACAGGAGCGGGGCGGCTGCCGCCCTCTCGGGGCTCGGGGCCTGCTTGGTGTGTGCCCGGACAGCGGATCTCTGACATTTCCATTAATTTTTCCCGGCGAAGGGGTGAGGGTGGGGGATGCCGGGTGCCGCACACGTTGTTGGACCCCGCACACGGCCCCGCAGCGCCCGGGCCCCGCGCTCTCCCTGCGCGATAAATTCAGCGCAGTCCTCCCTGAGCAGCAGCCGCCGGGCACGCGGGGAGTGGGGATTTGAGATTTACGGCCCGGCGGCCCCGCCGGGGCTGTTTTTGTGTCTGTGTCCTGGCGGCCCCGCTGCGGAGTCAGAGCGCGGAGGAGGAGGAGGACGAGGCGGGCCGGGGCTGGGGGAGCCGGTCGCTCTCCTCGGCCCCCTGCGCGTCCTCGCGGGGGCACCGACCTCCGTCCGTGCTTTGGGGCCGGCGGGGGCGGCTGTAGCCTTTCCCTTCCCTCGGCAGTCAGTGGGGCCCGGAGCGGGTCAAGGTGCGCTACCGGCAAATGGGCAACTTCTTAAAGATAAACTTCCACGTCTTAGTGCAAGCGCTATGTGCCAAACACTAAAGACCCGCCTGGGAAGGAAGTTTCTGTGAAAAGAAAGAAAGTTTTTACTCGATCTTAAGCTTTATCAACTTCCCACTTCAAGTATTTTTTCTTTTTTTTTTTTTTTTTAAGTGTATCTGTGCACAACAAAATCTTCATTGCGTTCAGTCACAGGCGGTCAGCAGAGGAGTAGCCGTGCCAGCTGTGCGATGGGAGCTTTGAGGTGATGCGAGGAATAAGAGGGGAATCCCTTCTCCGGATCCTCCAAATGCCTTTCAAATTAGCCAGCCCTGAGGATCATTGCCAGGCTCCACAAAGGCGTTCCCAAAGCCTGCAGCCAGTAAAACTTTGTGTAGGTAAAATTAGCTAAAGCCTTTCTGCTGAGACAACAGCCTTTGTTGTCACATGTGGTAGAGTTCCAGGATTTGTAACTATTTTTCATAAAAGGTTTTCCTACTGCCCCAGTGAATGCATTACGCTACAGTAGCTCTGAATGGTATCGCTTATTTCCTTCAAAGCAGCGGCCGCTTGTTTCTTCAGAGACCTCAAGTCCTTTCAAGGACTTCAAGGGGGGCAGAAAAATGTGATAGCTGAGGGGGGACTGAATCGCGCCGATAGATCTTATTTTAGCGGCATCATCGCCAAAGGGCGCGGCCCCTGGGAGCGCGGCGGGTGCCGGGGCGGGCGCTGGCCGGGCCGAGAGGGGCTCAGCCCGAGGGAAAGCCCAGCTGGAACGAGGGAGAGCCGGGACAGCTCAGTGGCCGAGGGGGAAGGCAGAGCCGCTGCCGCCCGCCGCGGGGACGCGCCGGGGACGGCTCTCCGTGGGGAGGGCAGCAGCGGCGGCATCATCCCGCAGAGCCGCGGCCGGGCCGAGTTTAATTGGGAACTTGTTGGCACCCGGAGGGGCGGGGGGGTTTCGCCTCCGCGGGGCCCCGCGGGAGAGGAGCCGCTGCCGCCGGCCGTGGCTGCGGGGGACGGAGGGAGCGCCCGCCGCGGGCACCTCCGGGCTGCGGGGGCTCGCTCCGGCGCAGCTGCGGGGTCCCCGGACCGGGCCGGGCCGCTTCGCTCCTCTCGGTCCTCCGCAGCGCCCTACGGCTCCCTCGGCCGAAGTTTCCACCCCTATTCTTACCTACTGTCTTGGTGTTTTTCTTGGGGGGATGTATTTCTGATATCTGTGGTTGGGTGAGGAATTACTGTCAACTCTGGAGGGAAGCGAATCGATTCGGACAAGATTACCTCCAGCTTAAAATAAGGCTTCCAAATATGAAGACACTGGGCGTACTTAGACTTTCCCTTTTTCCCCGTGCTCTTGTCGAAATGCCCGGTCCTGATTGCAAGGGCACAGCTTTTCCAGTTCTGATTTTCTGGGGCTTATTGCATGTCAGAATTGTAAAAGTCCTCTGGACAATTTACAGACAAAACATCTGGTTCGTTAAAGCAAAGCTACTGGACTAAGACAAACAAACTTTGCTGCTGTGTAAATTCACTTACCCAAACAATTTACATTCAAGCAAAGATTTTCAGCCCGAAGAAAAAACTTTTATTCATTTGTATTCAGGAGGTTTGGGAATTCACAGGCATTTTAAAATAATTTTGCTCTAATAAAGTTATGTAGATATTACAAAATGTCTTTGTTCTCTTCTCAGATCATTATCGCTGCTATAATGGTTATTGACAACACTTTGTATTTTACAGAAGCGCAGTATCGTTTTCGGGCGTGGGCAGTGGGGTTTTTTAAACAAACTTGTCAGATCCGTATTCATCTGGTCCAGCCTTAATGAAAGCTGCTGCTTCTTTGTTCTTCGCCGGGAGAAACCCAAGTACTTCCAGCATTTCGATGGTGCCGCCGAGGCGTGGGGCAGGAGGGCAGGCTGTGCCCTGGCACAGAGGGCCGAGGGTGCCCGGCGAGACCGGCCGCGGGGCCGCCGCGTTGTGCGCGCCCGGTGCCCGCGGCGCCTCCGCGGGGCTCCCCCAGCCCAGCCCGCGGTCCGCCCGGGGCTGCGGGGGCTGCCCGGGGCAGGTGAGGCCCCCACCTGGCCCGCCAGCCCGGCCCCTCCGCCCCCGACAGCCGCTGCCGCGCACCGGCGGCTCCAAAGGCCCCGGCTCGCTGGTGCCCGACCCTTCCCCCGGGCCGGGGGCACTCGGGTACCTTCCCGCGGGTCCCCCCCGGCTCCTCTGCCCCGCTCGAAGGGGAGGCGCCGGCAGAGCCGGGCCGGGGCCGCTTGGTGCTCGAGGCTGACCCCCGGAGAGCAGTGAACCGGTGCGAACAGCGAGGGAGAGCAGCCACACACGGGCACCTCGGCGCACGCCGCTCCCTGCCTTGTTTGCAGGGAGCAAGTGGCGAAACATCAACACGCTGCTCGGGAGAGAGCAAGGTTAAAGCCTGGGTAAAACACGCTGGTTTCTAAGAGGCGGCTGTTCCAAGTTTGGTAAACTTCCTCACTGATCCTCTTTGGCCGTTCCCATAGCCAGCAGTTAATTCCAGGGGTCCTTTGTCGGCTCAGCTGCTGTCTCCGCTCGGGCCAGGGGACGGGAGGGGTGTCTCGGGCAACTGGTGGAGTTTTGGTGTAGGGGAATGAAGTGAGCAGGAAAATGTACACCAAAGAAGGGCACTAAGCAGTGTCCAGTGGTGAAAGATAAAACATTCTTAGCTGATGGAAAGTTCAGGAGTGATGGTTATCTAATTATGTGACTTATAAATAATTGGTACCTTAGTTTAAAACTGCTGGAAAGAGCGAGCTTAGGGCTGAGCCTTGTATGCTGAGTCTTTGTAGATGGAGTCTGCTCAGCCTTCGATTTGATGCGTTATGTTTGGAAATGTTATGCTTCATAAAATTGAGGGTTCCAGCTTTCTGGAATAGATTGTGACCCCCAAAGAAGCCGACGCACATGAAGGCATCTGCACTTCCCTCTGTAAATCGTCTGTTAGAAAGTTCAATAGATTTTTTTCTTCCTTTTTAAAAAAAATTAATATAGTTAACAACCAAATTATTCCCCAACTTCCTGAGCATTTTGGCACTGAGTTGTGAATGTGTAAGCGCAGTGCATGTGTCTGTGTGCACGTATATCTGCTGCCTTTCTCTCTCACACACACGAGAGTTATTATTTCTAACTGAACTCAGAAAGTTCCTCCAATTACTCTTTACGGAAAGTTTCACTTATTTCATCCCCCCCCCAGTCCCAGCTCGGCGCACTGGTACGAGCCCATCACTCTCCACTGCCGGCGCGTGTGGGCCGCCCTTTGCAAAGCCAGGTAAGCGCTGTTTGCACAAACCTCCCCACGCAGCGGGGCCGGGGACCGTCTCGCGTGTTTGTTTGCGTTGACACCGCTCAGCTGCTGAGGTGCCACCTGCCAGCATCTTCCACGCAGGCTGTGCTGCGGGAGGCAGAGCTCTGCTCGGGAGCCTGTTCCAACACAAATGCCACCACATGCATAAACCCACGCCCGCGTGTGGGAGAGCGCACCCGCGGGAGGAGGCTGCGCACCCCGCTGGGCACCCGGGCCCAGCCGAGCGGGCAGGGGCTGACATCCCTCCTGCGGGCTGAGGGTGATACAAAGTCAGTGAGAAATGAGCAGATTTAGGGAGAAGGAAACGGAAGGAATAAAAAAACTTCTTCCAACTTGCAACCGCCCCAAAATTCGGGATTGGTCGCTGCAGCGCGTTCCTCGGGATGCCCCCGTAGCCAGCTTGAGGAGAATCGGTATCATCCCTGGCTTTAGTGAGGGCTTTCGTACATTTCTGAACAGCCTTCCCAGGACTGCAATGACTACACTCGCGCCGTATCGTTCTAATTTTGCTGTAGTTTTCAGGGCGCTTTACCAGCGCCTGGTGGCAGAGCGACCTTCCTCCTGCGCTCCGTGCGGCAGGCAGGGACAGAGCCGCCCGGGGCTCCCGAGGCTCCCGGCCGAGCATCCCAAAGTTTGTTGCAGCCTCTCCCGCTCCAGTGCTCGGAGGAATCCTCCATGTTGCGCAGCGCGGGCCGGCTCGGTCGGCAGCCCCCGAGCCCGGGGTTCGCCTCTCGCCGGCTCCGCGCTCGGTGCGGTCCCGCGGAGCCGGGAGCGCAGCCGGGCTGAGCCCCAGCCCCTGTCCCTGCCCCTGCCCCCGGACGGCAGCATCCTTCGAAGGGGGGTGGGGGGCGTGAATTATTTAGGTTTTCCATTTCCTAATTCCTACTTAAAGGGGGAGGAGGGAGAGGGGAATGAACGAGCTATTAACCGCAGCCGAGTCGCGCTTTCCCGAGGATGTCTAACATTTGTAAATACTTATGCTGCGGCTGGGTCCCCTCCTCCCCGGTTAAGTTGTTTAGTATGTCGGTTATTTGTACCGAATCCCGGTCTGCGTAGCGTCAGATGTGTTGTCGTTGCAAATGTGCGGCCGGGGTGACACTGATGGATGCGCCAATGGTGAGACGGACAGATGTTAGGGCGGATCTAGCGGCACGCACCGCCGCGGTGCGAGCCCGCCCGCCCGCCCCGCCGGGGCTGCCCGCCCGCCCGGCCCCGTCCTGCCGCACGGCTCACCCACGCCCGCACACACTCACACACACGGGCGTTTTTGGGGAAGCGGGGTGGGGGGGAACATCTCCGTGTCGTCTCTTAAGCAGATCTGATCGCTCCTTCTGTGAGCAGATACTGTAACTGTGAGGAGCAACCAGCGAGTATCAATGAGATGGAACTGAGCGAGTTTGGCAGCAGAAGCGGCAATTGACAACTCACCATTTTCTTGTTTGCAAGAGAAATGTTTCGTTTTCCCCCAACAGTAGCAATTTCCCGGGGACTTTAGGCGACTGCGATTTTTTTTCATCCTAAAGATCAGCTTAGGAAAAAAAATCAACTCATAACAATAATAATCAAAAAAAATATATCCCAAAACCTTCTCCACCCGTCACGTAAAGTGTTTGAATTTCCTGCAACTTGAAAGGGAAGCGAGAGCCCGAGAGCGGCACGGCGGCTTTATAGGATGTGAAGACGCAACAACATCTGCACTTAGTCAGGTATTTGGAATTATCCCAACTCTCGAAGAATGGGGGCGAGAGAGTGGAGGTTTTTTTTTTTTTGATCTTACCGTAAAAGTGAGCTCAGCCTTTTTTTTTTTTTATTTCCCCCCCGTGAATTTAAAAAAAAAAAATCGCTACTTTTTTTTTTTGTGGGGGGTGCTGTTGTTCTTTTTCATCCCCGTTCCATCCCTGCCCCGCTCCCCGGTGGCGGTGCGGGGGTCCCGGTGCGGGGTCGCGGTGCGGGAGCGGGCCCTGCGCGCCCCCGGCCCTCCCCGCGCCGCGCGGCCCCGCCGCCCAGGGAGGCGCAATCAAACCCGCAGCACATCGATCCGCCGGCGCTCGGCAGTGAACTTGGACCGAGAGAGAGAGAGAGAGAAAAAAATTAAAAAAAAAAAAAACCAAAAAA